ATTTTTAGCGTATTTCAAAATTTCAACTATGAATTCAATTTACCTGCACATAAAAACCCCAAATTTTGAAACAAATTTTATCGAAATACTAATTTTGGCCACGAAACCTTGGATGCTGGTCAACTGTGCGCTCTCTTGACCAAACTATTGGGACATTTCCTAGATAACGGCTACACCATATATTTTGTAGGGTCAAAAGTCCGAATTCGTCAAAAAATGGTATGTTTGTTCAGAGAAAGTACGTTTTTGTGTCTCTTACTTCAAAGATCGCTTTCACTAATTTATTAGCATATTTGTGATCTCCCCATCGAACCATTAAATTGGGTAGTATAAGCTGAAGATCTTATCATTAGATCAAAAATTAAGGGTGGTTCGTTTTTTCTTTTTTGTGCACTAACATTTATTTAACTTACTGGATCCAATTTTCTTTCCTTCATTAAAAGTGCGTTTTTTTGCACCCATAAAAATACCTTTGTTCCAGATAAATGAGCCTTATTTTGTAATTCTAAAGAAATTGGAAGTTTTAACAGAAGCAACAATTGCACATACAATAATTGTTAAAATAAGCTTTTTTTTCATGTTACAATGGGTATATGTATATTTTGACATGTCCTTACAAAAAATAATTTACAAAATAATTAAGAAAAAGAATGATTTTTTGATATTTTAGAAATATTTGTTTTATCTCATTAACATCTTGTAACTATTTAGTTCTCATGATATTTTATTGAGTCGAATACGAAGTAAATTTTTTTAAAGAAAAGAAAAGAAATCTTAGTTACAAGTGTAAGTACTTCTTAAAAACTATTATCAAGAATTAATATAATGCTTTGGAATTTAAAAAAAAAGTAAGAACCTGAATGAAATTTAACAATTATTACAATGTAAGAAGATAAAACTTTTTTGATGAAACAATATTCTATTAAAAAATGTAGTACAATTTAAATATTTTATGTGTTACAGACACGTTCATGCAACAATAAAATATATTTATGATCTCATAATATCTTATTTTACAATAACATGTATAATAAACAGAGACGTATTTCAAATCCGTAAAATTAATTTTCAATAAATTTATTAAAACTTAAATGGTAAACTCTAAATTTATAAACAAACACATTTAATAAAATAACATCTTAATTTAAATGAAATTTTTTTTCATTTCAATATTTTTGAATATTTAGAGAACAACCAACATATTTCCTTAATGTTATATAGTTTTTAAATAATACTTTAAAATAAGATTAAAAGTGAATGCTGAAAATGCTTTTTTATACATATCCTACTACGAGACAGTAGTCGGCTTCATATTTCTCAACTTGTTTTCTAACATTTATTATTATTTAAAAAGTAGTACTATCAGCATACCTGCCAACATTGGAGAAATAAAATAATGGAGATTTTTTAGGGTACAAGTAAAGTTTTGATACATCACATATAATCATGTAAGTTAAAAAGAGACATTCAAAATTGGAAATAGTAATATAAGCACTAACATTTAGTGAAGTAAAAAATATGTAAAGAAATTTTAAGATTTTTTTCAAACAATTATTTATAATCAAACAATTTTACTTTATAACTGTCGTTGAACAGCTGATTCAATTTTGGGTTTACGAGTACTAATGTTCAACTCTGTAGCCTTGTAATTTTGAACGCAATCCAGGCAACTCCTGGATCAAGTATTGGAAGAAATTTGTCATGGAGGACTTTTTGATGGAACTAACCCAGATTTGAGTTACATGGAGAGAAAAACCTCCCACTGTTAGCCTGATGGCAAGGGGACTCTTTAACTGTTGATCCGCCTACCACTGAAGATATTTTACGTCAGCACTGAATTGGTGCAAGCTGGATGCGGAGTTCGTATAGACGAGTCATTGCCGAGATTCGAACCCGGTTCACCTTATAGGAAGACTAACGCTCTATCCCCTGAGCCATCACGACTTGACTTAAATTATTAACACTCAACATATTGCGGAACTGGCAATAGCACCATTTGTTGTGGAATGAGAGAAAGTGTTTTTGCCATAATTTTTTTTTTAAATATTCCTTTTAACAAATAGAGGTAACTTAAGAATATAAAGGTAAACAAGAGACTTGGAAGGTACGTATCAGCAATTTTCTCATTTTGTTTGCTTTTTAAAAAGGAAACTTAGATGAAAAATAATCTGCCATTCTGGAAGATTTCTTCGTCCAGATGTACTAGAAGTCTACGTTAATAAACAATGGAAATACTATGGAATAATGTTCAAGACACATGAAAATGAAAACTCAATTTTTATTATCACACATTATTGACTACAAAGGAACAAACTGTGTTACACAAAATTTGAAAGTAAACAATAACAAACTTCATATTAATGGTTTTTTGAAGATGAACAATACTCACTTTAAATGCTTAGAAAAATACTGTTACAATTTTTTAAAACGATGATCTATATTTTTTCGAACTTGGAATATAAAGCTCTTTACGTGCTTATATGCATACATCATAGGGGGGAAAAAAATAAAACCTGCTTCATAAATTCATGAGCACCATGCAGATAATAATCTCTGTTTTGTGTTTCGTCCAACTTTCAAAATACCAAAGCTAATTTTATTGAAAGTCAATTATCTGGATTACGTTTCTGAGGATTCACAACGGGGAAACTCATATAGAGAACTTAATTTATACTTTAAAAACTGTGGTATTCCTGAAATTAAAATAATTAACTCATAAAAATATCATTATAGATAACTAAACATTTGCGCAACAGATTCCAGGTTTTATCATCAAAGATTGTACAAGTTTATTCTTATTAGCTAGCTATACAATTTTAATTTAGCATCAAAAACTGAATTTTTCGAATACATTTTAGTATGACTTTGAAGTACAAAGTAGTAACACTTGCATCTCTGTATTAAAGATAATTTTTTTAACACTTTATTCAAAAACAATATTTATTTTGAAGAACTATCAATTTAATTAAAAGATTTTTTAACTGAGTGCTGTATTAATAAATAACAGCTGCAATATTTAAATTTACTAACTGATTATTAAATAATTAGTATGCATATAAAAAGGTAGAAATACATTTAGTTTATAGATATTAGTTTTCATTACATATATATATTCACTTACATCAATACTATTTTGACATCAAATGATCTCTTATCAGTAACTTCTACATAGGAATGAATGATAAAACAAGTGCAAAGGGTAGGAGTTTTCTTTTTAAAGTGAGTTCAACAATGTTAATGAGTAATGAACAAAATATANCATAATGTGGGTACGACACGAAGTCCGCGTGAATAATTACGTAGCAAACACCCCATTTTTCGTAAAATGCATGGGATCTACCAGGTATCACTGAAGGAAAAAAAATTTATTCGTGAAAAAAAAGCACTTTTTAAAAACGCCAGCTGAAAAAAGCACCTTTAAAAGCTTTTAAAAACGAAATCCCCCAAAAAGCACCTTTAAGTACTTTTTATAAACGCTACGCACCCTGTATTTACTTCAATAAGATTTAAGATAAAATGTAAAATAATAATTTAAATAACTAAACCATTCAAAAGCATCTCAGTATTTCATTTATAATAAACAAATCAAAAATATCCTTTATGGTTCCTTAACCCTTTTGCACCTAAAGGGACACATATGTCCCAAGCAAATTTCAAAAAAATCTTTTGGGACAGAAACAGTTCTCTGTCAAATGGGAGACTTTCCCACCAGTCCTGCCAATATTTTTGAAGATATTTTCATTCACAGAACATAGATGACACTACCATACATAATACTGCCCTACTCAATGCTACCAAAATTGTTCTGCTGTAAAAAACAAAACAAAAAACTCGCGAAAGGGTAAAATATGCTGACATAATAAAATAAAATAAAAAAGAACGGAATACTTTATATGATACATTTTATTTTAACTCTGTGAAAGAGTCATTCTTCCTTAACTTGTCAGTAATATAAAAATATGTTTCAGCATAATTTAATAACTATCATTGTTCTACTGTATATAATTTATAACATTGTCAATTAAATTTTATATAAATATTTCTCTTCTTTTTTTCCTTAAATCATTTGAATCAATATAAATTTTAATGCAAATTACTTAAAGCAATATTTTATATTAATAATAATTAAAAAAATAATGGAATGATGAAAGAAAAAAAAGTTTCATTTAAAACAAAGGTAAATTTTAGTACTAATGGTTCAATAAAGGACAAATTACTTTTTTATTTATTTAAACATAGAGTTTTAATTTTAAAACAATACCAGAATGCAGTATCAGGGATTAAGTTTAACAATATCAAGAGAGTCATCAAATTTCTGATTTTAAAAAATATTGTCTCTGTCTTGATTTATAATTTCTTATTCTGGCACTTCCAATTTGTGGGTGCTCAGAATTTAGATTTTAAAATAATCACTTTGAAAAACCAAAAGATTTGGATTCTTGATCTAACGTAGTTTCATTTTAATTAATAGTGCTAGTAAAACCCACATAATTAAATTGTCCAAACTTAGGTTAAAGACTAAGTCTTTTCAAACTAATACTATTCATATAAATAATTAAACTTTAAAAAAAAAACCAGGCTTGGTTATTAAAAAAGGTACATTTTGTTAAAATGTTATGTCGCTTAATAATGTAGGGAAACTCTCAAAATAAGGATAAATTATCTGTTCTACTGCTATTGAGGCAATACGGAATTACATTCAAAACAAGAAAACACTTTTTGATGAACGAACAAGGCCTGAATCATAACTGGTTGAAAAGTATCACGTGAGAGCTAATTTGATACAAGGGAAGATAGTTATTTTCTAAGTATGTTTGTAACGTTCCAAGTATACAAAATAGTGAAATTGACTCTTATAACTTAAAAAATTTGAGGAAGAAAAGCAAAACATTTTCATAATGTAATTTAAAGATTTTTCAATAGCCTTAAGGTCATTCAGGACAAAATATAATAAATTTAAAATGATTATTAACGAAAACAATACGATTAAAAACTTGAAATCAACTAAGTAAAAGCTAATAAAAAATGCTTAGAAAACGTACCTCTTCTTTCTCTTTAGTTTGCCACAGTAATTTCCTCTTTTGAACTGTTTCAGCATATTTTAAAGGATTAACAGCAGCTGGATTGTAATATTTAGGTAAAGCAATGCCAGTCATTGCTTGAGCTTTAGCACTCATGGCCGCCATAGTTTGTTGCAAGGCCATTTGTGGGGTCATAGCACCTCCAGATGTTGAAAGCGGAAGAGAGCCTGGTTTGCGATTGGATGATCCTAAAAATGAATTACTTTTCTTTAATTAAGGTACAACATCAAAAATTAAGCAATTTAAGAACAGGTTTAAAATTCTAACAATTTGTTATGAAAATCTTTTGTTTGCACTACACACTGGCTTTACAACTTGAAAACTCAATTTTTAAAGCTATAAATGACCCAGTTGAAAAATTATTCACAACTTAGAAAATGCAAGTGCAACTATTATATGATTTGTAAGATTCTTCATTTATATTTGTAAGTGAAAACTTCGTTGTGTCGTCTGTGTTACCCCTAACATCAACACAAGAGAATTTAGAAACAAGCTTTATGGTAATGGTATCCAAGAGAGGTTAGTAGCAAATAGGGAACTAGAACCAGACATAAAACACCGATAAGCACTATGCCTCAAGTACAAGGAATAGTTCATAGAATACACAATTCTATGTAGAACACCGCTACAACAGACTCAATGACAAAAATAGTTCCAATGCACGAACCTCGACTGTAAATCACGGCACTTCAGGAAACATGTAGTAATCACTATAGTCACTATCGGAAGAAACATGGCATTATTGAAATAGTGCAACTGCCAAAAGCTAGGGGTTCAATTATGCTCTCTTACGTACCCTCACATTTTTACAGACTTACGAGGGAAACACGCATCTCGAAAATTACTATTAAAACAAAGTTAAGCTTCAATTGAAAAGCATGTTTGAAAACCTTGGATAAGGTACAAATTAGCTGCATAATCTGCCCATGAGGAAAAATATGTTCCATTAAAGTTTCAGTTCATTTATTTACAAACTAGCAATAACTTTTTGCGTTTATGTTTAATTATGGTGTATGATGTTTACAGTTCTAAAAAAAGACTGATATCTAATAAGTTTTAAGCAATTTATAAATAATTATTTTTTATGTAAATTAATTTAATTCAAAATTAAATTTTTAAAAACAAAAGAATTAACATTTTAATTCTAAATTACAACTTTTTTAAATAATCTGCACATTTTAATTAAAAATTAAAATTTTTATTAGCTTGCTATTTTAAAAAAAATTAAAATTTAGAAGTTAAATTACATGCTTTTTTAAATTATCCCTCTATTTTATTTAAAAAATAAATATAAACTTTTTTTTCAAAAAAATTCTAAATTTTTTTAGAAAAATTTATTTGGAATTAAAAAATATTTTATAAATTGGATAAAACATTTTAAACAGATATCAACCTTTTTTAGAACAGAAAAGTAGAGATAAAATGCAAGCTTCCCCTCTGATATGCAGACCTCTTTAATAGAAGGCGGACAGTCAAACCATTACACCACTAATAAGCATAAATTGGGAAGATTTTGTCAGTTTTTAAAGTAAATGAACTGAAACTATTATTTCATATGAACTATTCAGGGCTGCCACTGGATGAAAAGAAGAAAAATAGTTGCTTTAGTTGCATCATATATGAAAAAAAGTCTCCTAAATAGTCTAAAAGATATATAAAATAGTTGCTAACATCATATCCTCCTCTAATATAATTTTAATTATTTGTGCTGTAATAGCATAAAATTCAAATAACATGCATTTAGATACTTATATTTTACAAAAAATGTTCATTTGTGGATTTTCCAACAATATATTCTTTCACACTACGCATAAAAACAGGGAGTTTTATTTTTATCTGTTACAGAACAGTTGAATTTGAAACTTGGAATTTCTTTTCTCGGTTCTAATTTGCAGCTGCTTAGTTTAGAGATTAAAAAAATAAATATTGCAATTTAATTCCATTTTATTTTATTTATTATTCATAACTGACGCATTTCCAAATTTTAATGCTTATCAAAAAAATTACGATCACAACTCGACAAAACGAATATCACCATGAACCTTTTTTTCTATTCTAAATAGCTCTAAAAAAATTAACGACACATTTTGTGCAATTAAAGACAATTTTTCTAATTTTGCTACTTCGTTCAAATTAAAAGAGGGGGAAAAACTTAATCCTCAGAGATATTACATTAGCTTTCTGAAGCAGGAGGAGCAGTCACGTAGAGCGAATTCCAATTCCATCAGTCTGATTGGTTAAATATGTCTGTCATGCTTTGACATCAAACAGTGAGAAATAATAAAGTTAGGATAAAACGAAAGCGCGGCAAAAAAAGTGGGGGAAGGGGGAAACTCATGAAGCTATTCTTCATTTTAGTCGCTTTGGCTTAAAAAAAGTCGCCGATTTTAAGCAAATCATTGCAAATTAGTTGTTTTTAATCATTTCTACTAAAATAGTCGCAATAGTTGCTATTGCTTTAAAATAGTCGTTTTAGTAGCCTTTTTAGTCTCCAATGGCAGCCCTGCTATTTTACACTAAGGTCAGATTATGTGGCTAATGTTTACACTATCCAAGGTTATCAAACATCTTCTTAAATTTAAGCTTTGTTTTAATAAAAATTTCGGAGATGTTTACTTCCCTTGTTAAACTGAAGTTCCAGATATTAATAGAGAAGAGTGTACCACTGTGCATTTATCTGCATGATACCAGTAGAGGAAATCACAGCATTCTCCCTGTATTGAACCCTTCAGGATACTACAGAACAGATCCATCTGATCACACATGTTAGACACTGAACAGAAGGTCACTTAGAAGAAGAGAAGGGCAAGAGATAGGCATCCAGCAGCTATCTAATTTGCATAACCAGAGTTCTCCATAGGAATAAAAAAAAAGGCAGGGTGTCTTTTCACATTAAAGGGCACTCACTCACTCCATTAAATTTTATCAAAATATGTAATACAGGGTGCGTAGCCAAATCTTTGAATCAAAAATAAGCACTTTTTAAAAACTTTTCAAGCACTTTACAAAAATTTTCAAGCACTCAAAAAATTCATATTCAATCAATGATATTATTGAAAAACAAAAACTTTTTAGAAACAGTTTCAGCGTTAAAAAAAAAACCCAAAAAGAAACGGGCGTAAATCGAAACAATCAGTACTTTCCCACATCACCGAGTGAATTCAACTTGACCCTGAACTCAGAACAAAAGTACCCTTACCCCCTACGTCAAAAAAAGTGTTAGGAGTAAAATAAAATAAACAAGAACAAAACTAAAATAAATTAAAAAGAAAAACATTTCATAAGGATCATTTTCTCTACCCGAATTGGAGCACTCGGGTTTAGGTTTCAAGTATGCGCGCATGCGCAAGTCATAACGTGGGTACGACAATAAGTCCGCGTGAATGATTACGTAGCAAACTCCCCATTTTTCGTGAAATGCATGGGATCCACCAGATGTCACTGAAGGGGGAAAAAAAATTTTCCGGATAAAAAGCACCTTTAAAAGCTTTTAAAAAACGAAATCCCAAAAAAGCACCTTTAAGTACTTTTTACAAACGCTACGCATCCTGTAATATATAATAACTGAATTTAACTCACAATTTTCAAATTATCCTCTTATACTATTTTAAGTGTATATTTCATTAATTCTAACTCATTATCAAAATAACTGAAAAATTTAAAGCCTATAGAAAATGATCTAAGGCAAGCTAATAGACAATCTGTGTATAATATTTTTTTTAAAAAAGTAAAATAACAAAGAATAATTAATTGGTAATTATTGGTAAACAATTTATTAACTGTACTTATTTTAAACTGAAAATTATGAGAAATGAACACTTTATAACATACACTTACATTAAACCATTAAATTTTTAATAAAATTACATTTATATTTTTAAATAAAAGGTTGTTTTTTTTTCAATTACTAAAACATTCATTAATATACCCTCTCTTAAAAAAAAAAACTAATAAAAGTTTAACCAGTTGAGAATAATCCTAACAAAGTATTTGTAATAGTAATCAGTATTAATTTATTAGGAATTACTAATTTAATTTTCCAATGTGTAATTATTATCTAAACAGTGAATTAATTTTCTTTTAAATAGAATATGTAAACTAAAAATAATAACTATACAAAATTTAAATAGATGTAAGAATGCATATTTATATTTATCAAGAAACTAAGACAATACATTTAAAAATAAAACATTATAATAGGTTAAATAGATTTTTACATTATGTATAAAAGTAAAATAAAAAAAAGTAATTTTTTAAAAGAGTAAATATGAAGGGAAACTTTGAACTTTTTTATACTCCATTAAATTTCATGTGTTTAAATTTAATCTAAGACTTATTGCTAAAGAATTGTACTGTTCATTTCTAGACATTAAATACCTTCCGTTCTTTTTAATGTTTTTGCAAAAAACATACTTTATCTCAAATCTGGTTAATAATCTGATCTAATAGTACAATATCTTCAAAAAATTTAATCCATACTATTGGAAGTCCTCTTTCGGGGGCAGAATAACATGTGAATTTTAACTATAGAATTGGACCTCAAAAGAAAAATCTTACAAAAAATTAATAAAACTTTTCATTGAAACAGGTGGTTAAAATAACCTTTTACTAAAAAAAGTAAAATAAAAAGGCAGTGTTTTTAAAGGATAGATCTTAATTATTTTCATAAAAGGGGCACATATACAGGGTGATTCTAAAAAGATGGACAAAATTTTAGGAAGTGATAGTACACACCCAAGCAAACAATTTTTATCAAAGAATGCATGGTCGAAAACAAAAAGCAAAACTGTTAGGGGCGTTAAAAGCTATGTTCTTATATGAGGCAAAAGCACGCAAAGAACGATGAAATTAAGCTTTAAAAATAAATTTAATGGCATGTGATTACAATAAGTATTCAAAACAATGGCCAGCAGCGGCTATGCACGCAGTGCAACGACAAAAAAAAAAGATTGGCGAACATTCTGAAACACACCAGTCATATCGCGAACTACACGCGCATATGCTCAGTGGCTGCAAGCTTGGCGACAAGTCATTCTGCAGATTCAATGTGAGTCTCATACATAAGAGCCTTCAGCTGTCCCCATAAAAAGAAATCGATACATGAAAGGTCTGGTGAGCACGGTGGCCAAGCTATAGGACCACCTCGCCTAATCCATTGGTTTGGAAACGTTACGTCCAGATAGTTTCGCACTTCTCGTACGTAATAAGATGGTGCTGCGTTCTGCTGGAACCAAATGCATAAATTAAATGCATATTGGCTTTTTCCTTATTAGAGAAGGGCAATATTTTCAGGTGCTTTACTACCGCCATTGACAATGCACTCTTGAATCAGCAGCTTTTATGTATGAATCGTGACGAAAATTTTCTGACAAAGAACTCTTTTCTTGATTATATTAGCCATTATAAAACGATAAGAGATTTTTTGTTTCGATATCAGAGGGTTAAAAATGAAGCCAGAAATGGAGAATATCTTGCAAAATGCAGCAGAGTTTCACATGAGAGTGCAATAATCTCACCGAACCATGCTCAGTAGACGCACGAGTGAACTTGCAAGAATTTAATCAAACAAGTAAAATGATTAGTGCTTTCATACGCTATGCTGTGGTTGAATGAATTGTGAAAACGTTGAATAAAACAATGTGAAAAGCACGCTTTTGCATAATACATGGCAAAAATCGTCATGGTAAAGAAAAAAAATCTCATTTTCGAAAAGGGAAAATTAAGCACTTTTTAAAAACACCCAATGCAATAAGCATCTTTAAGGGCTTTTAAAAAACGAGAATCAATAAGCACCTTTAAGAACTTTTCAAAAATGTTTATAAAAAATAATAATAATGAAATTTAACTAATTGTGCAGTAAGACATTATTATAATAATAACTTATACACAACTTGAAAATACAGAATAACGACCCAGCAATACAAATAATTTCATTTTACTCTCATAAACTTTATAAAGGATAAATAAGCTTCGCAAAATTTTTAAAACATTTCAGCATAAAAGAATCCTTACCCCTATCACGTGAACGACTTCTACTACGAGAATGTCTCCTTCTTCGATATCTATCTCTGCTTGAACTTCGACGGGCCCTGCGGCGTCTCTCATAGCTTCGACTGCGACTACGTCGACGAATGTCTCTACTTCGGCTACGCCTGCGAACATCTCTACTATGACTCCTCCTTCGCGAGTCCCTACTACGACTTCTTCTGCGAGAAACTGGACTGCGAGTTCGTCTACGAGAATCTGGACTGCGGGTTTTCTTTCGAGAATTTGGGCTACGACTTCTTTTTAGGTCTGGACTGCGGCTTTTTCTGCGAGAATCTGGACTACGAGCTCTCATGCGAGAATCTGGACTACGAGTCTTCCTAGGAAAATTAGGACTGCGACTTCGTCTGCGTGAGTCAGGACTGTGACTTCTTTTTCCTGGACTTAGACTTTTTCGCCCCTTGAAATACCTGAAAATGAATTAACCAAATATATGTAATCAAGATACAAAAAAATAAATACATAATCTGTATAGCAGTTCCTTTCTATTCAAATAACAAAGAACAGTGAAATGCTAATAGTAATTAATATTGATTTAAAATACTACAAAACATTAAAAAAAATTAAAAACTATTTCAACTTTAGTGGTGAGTTTTCATTCATTGAAAAACATTCATTAATTTAAATAATTAAAACATAAAAGATTACAGCATAACTGAGATTCTTGTGATGAAAACCAGACATAACTTTTATTAATCTTTCGTTGATGCCTTACTTTTAAACATAAAATATATTACAAAAATGTATACTATCAGCTAACCATTAGTTAAAAATAAACAATTTTTAATAAAAATAATTACTAGCAAAAAATTATTACTAGAAAAATATTAAAATTTTTTTAGGTACCTCTTACCCAAATTAATTCATTTTTCCTTCACAATTTGGATGATATATGCCTTTTTTTCTTCTTTTTTTTTTGGAGACTGATAAAATGCTGTCCTTTACCTGCTAGGATTTTGTCTAGTTTTATATTACATTTTACACTATCAGTTACCAGTGACTAATGTGACCTAAATGGAAATGGGGCACTCAACGTATTAATAAATTTGTTCTAAATATCAAAGATACATAAAATTGCTTTTGCCTTATAGCTTGTTTCATAATTAAGGGGAAAAAATAAAAATGTCTAAAAAAACAATGGATATTTATTTTAAAAAAGAGAGCAAATGCAAATTAAAAAATGATTCAATAAGAAAAATTCTCAAAAACACCAAATAATTAATAACCAAAAGAAATTCAAAGAACTGACAATAACTGGAATAACAATACATTGGTAGCAAAACCGTCGGTACATCATATGACTAAGAAAATTACTACAAAAAAAAGTGGTCAAACGAAATTAGAAAACCGGCAGTTGTGTTTTGGAAACAGAGTATAGCAGATCTAAATTGATTAAAAAAAGTTCTATATCTCGCAGTGAATTGATAAATGCAGGTCCTGTGCTAGGCATTCACTACCTAGCCAAATACGATGAAATTGTAAATTCGGCAAGGAAAATTTTGTTTTGGCATAAATATTGGCGAATGATTTTTTCAACCGAAAAAATTTATGTTACCCTCAAACCTGAAAAAGGTTAAAGGGAATTCTTTAGAATGAATGATTTTTCATTCAATTACAGTAATTTCCGTTTGATACATAGCAGAACCTATTAGAATTATATTTAGCCCAGATAATATAAGCAACAAGAGAGATTATGCAAGAATGATGCAAACTACCGTACAATAAAGATTACTATGTTCAATGCCGGATGAATTTATTTATTATTTTTTTTTTAATTTTTCCTAGTTTGTGTCAGTAACACAGATCAAATGGTAGCAAGATGCATATTATCATCCAACTATTTTTGCAGACAATAGGTTTTTTAGGGAATAGAATACACAATAAAGAACAAAAATATGTTGCTTTAGGTTTATATCATTGCTCTAGTCTAACAAGTTATCAAAAAATGAGCCCTAACCTATTCCTAATTTTTTCCTTAAAAGCAATAAAACATCTACATTTTTCACCCTCTCCCATCAAGGGTAATTGTGACACAAAGTCAAAAACCCTGAAATTTTTATGAGCAAAAAATAGATATCAATTTATATATCATATATCTTTCATATTTAACAAAATTTTTTGAATTAACATTTATAATTAAATTACCTTCTAATGCAAAATATATCACACCTTTAGAGTAACTAATTCAAGAAGAAGATTATTTCTAACAAGAATCGCAATATTAGATTTTTAAAAAAATGTGTGAATATCAATCGCGATATTGGAATTTTAAAAGCAAAAATACAACTTGCGATATTGAATTGTTCAAATGCGAATCACTAGATCGCGGGAATACGAATCGCAATACGCAGTTTTTGAATCACATATAAAAAGTCAAAAATCAATGTTTGATATTACAAATGTGTGAATACAAATTGCAAAATTAGATTTTAAAAACGTGTGAATACGAATCGCTGCCTTGAATTTTAAACTCGTGTGAGTATGTATCGCAACGCTGGGATTTAAAAACACGTAAATACAAATCATGATATTGGATTCTTAAATCAAGTGAATACGAATCTCAAAGCGTAGTTTTTAAATCAGGTAAATGTGAAAATCAATGTTTGATATTAAAATTGAGTGAATAAGATTCTAGATATTAGCAGATTCAATTGCATTGCAGATTGCATTGGCTATACCACATATTCAAAATAGCGAAAATAAAATCAATCAAATTGAAAAGGAATTGCGTAGGACATAATTCTTTAAGTAATCGGCGAAAGAATGTATGAAAATGTCTGGTTAACAGGATTTAGCAAAATCTTCAAAATTGGGTTCATTGGGTTGTTATAAGTTTTGATTCGCGGAACCCATTGTCTTGAGCTATGTGGAATTCCATGATATTCGCGCAAAACTCGCATGCACTGCTTCTAGCTTTTGAACCCGAAAAAATTACACGTAAAAACCGGAATTCCTGCGTACCTACGGAGTACAATCACTCCTGTCCCATTCATTGCTCATTTACTCCTTCCCAACTGCAAAATAACTTTTGAATTGAATTTGCATTTTATAAAATAACTCAATTTATACCTAATTTTGTTTTAAAGTTTTATAAGGCAAAAAAATCTTCACATTTTTTTTAAGATTTGTCTTGAGCTAAGAATTTTGAAATTTGGCTAATTCATTGACCAATAGTTTGAAGTCCTTAGCATGGCTCCTGTAACGGTTTAAAATGATGATTTGAAAATGATACCTTGTTTGCCTAAAAATATTAAGTTTAAAATTTTAGTCATCTGGTTGACCTTGCCCTGAAATTGCCCCTATGCTAAATAACTAAACTTCAATATTATATACTCACTTGCCAAAGTTTCTATCTCTACTTCGATTTCGACTGCCATTTCTTTCTTCTTTACTACCGCTCCTTGACTTAGATCCGACAAATCCTCTGCTGCTGCTTCGGCTCCTAGATCTATAGTTTTTATATTTCTCTTTTTTCAGATCTGCACAAGGTGAAAAAGATCTATTGCTATTGTTGCGCTCTTTAGAATGATCATCTTGATTAGTAATTGTGCGAACTGCCTCAAGTTCTGTATGTAGTGAGTTGTTTCCAAAACCTTTACTTTGCAGGTTGTCAAAATCTTTTTTGAATGATGATTGAAAAGCCAAATCTTTTTTCTCAAAAATGCCACTGGGACTTCCACTTCGAGCATCATCATCATAAATGGATAGCAATACTCTCTCATGAGGAACGCTAGCTTGAATAGGTTTCTGAGATGAGGAAGTATCTTCTGCTATGTTCCCATCACTTGCACTGGAAGATCGCTTCCGGAAACTTCTTTTCAAAGAATTGGAATCAACTTTGTAGAATGAATCTTCTTCACTGCTAGGACTATTGCTTGAATCTTTGCCTCTTCCCCCAGCATGGACATTATAATTAGTAACATCATTTGTCACAGGGTTCACTGTTCTACCTAATGGTTGCTAAAAATAAAAAGTAGAATAAATTTATGTAATTAAATAAGATCATTTCTTAAAGCTATCTTGAAAAAAATAAAGCTTCCTCAATAACTGATACAAAAAACTACTAAAACAATGAAGATAAACAGATAAAGTAAACAATTATGAAACAAATTGCACGTACTCACTATTTTAACAGCAGTTTTTGCTGAGATATTTTTTTTCTTAATTTTTTTTGTTGTTATTTTCATTATATTTCATTTATTTATTTATTTTTCAAGCTTGAATAACAGAAGAGATACCTTAATCGAATATTTGAAATTATCTTCAATATTCCTCCAAAATTAAAATCGGACCACATAGTATATTAAAGAATTAAACCTTTCTCCAAGTAAATATGTCCATTGACAGTGTGTATTCTAATTATTTGTAGTATAGTTCTCAAAATAATTTTATTGTAATGGTAATTCAGAATTTACCTTTATAAATTATAGTACAGCAAATGATGCTTAACAAATAATGCATTGCAATTTTAACATTCTATATAAGTTTTATAAAAATCTGAAGAAAATTTTTTTTCTTCTTTTTTTAAATAGTTGAGAAGTTTATTAGAAGTTTATTAAAGTTTGCTATTGAGAAAGCAACATCTCACTGTAAAAAGATCGAAAACACTTTATATTTACAATTGAAAACCAAATATTTTTCTTTTTAAAATTTTTTCATTTTATACTTATCAAAGATGTTGTGGGAACTAAGTCATTAATACCAAGTTCTTCTTAACATAATGAAACATTGTCTTTATCTTCACGTCTGGCATTTTTGCAAACTACATGAAATAAAAGAACTGAACATATTTTGTAACTGTTCTTTTTTAAATCGAAGCAAGTCTTAAAAATTAACGAGAAAAAAACCCACACATACACAGTATGCTGGCATAAACTGATAAGTACTGAATCCTGGACGAAGTTCAACATCAAAAGTCATATGCCACCAAAATGCAAATTACTTTTTGATTAGTACTTAAACATATATTTATTAAATTCTCAATATTTTTAAATAAAATATAAGCTCATTTTGGAACACATAGGTGTGCAGAAAGATTTTTTTTCAAACCTAACANATATATAATTATTAAATTCTTAATATTTTAAAATAAAATTTAAGCTCATTTTGGAACACATAGGTGTGAAGAAAGATTTTTTTTTTCAAACTAAACTATCCAAAACTAAATTTTTGCAGAACTCCTTAGTTTGTATTAAATAATTGACAGTAGGACTACGAGTTTTTAAAATTTAAAGATTCACTTGAAATATAAATATTAAAATATGGTAGGTTTATTAAAAAACAATGAAATGTTGATGCAACTACACATAAAGAATAAGCTAAAAAAAAATTAACAGATGACTTCAGTTTTAATTGCATTTGAAGTGAAAAATTTCGCGGAAAAAAAGTAAAATTATATGTATTACTTCATTAGTGTTTAAATTATTTAATAGAAAATTAATGAAATAAAACATAAAGGTGAAGTTTTGAATAAAGAAGCAAACTAAGATAGTCCTTTGATTTTTTGCATATAACTTTAAAAAAATGAAACTTTTTTATTCTGAGTTTTGTTTTTTTATCTTTTATTAAAAACTACAGGAATTTTAATACTTACTTCTATAAACTTTTAAGTGGTAGCAAAGTCTTGAATGGAAAGATGGGAATGTTCTCAGTTCTGTACATTTACAAATCAAAAATGATCAGATCAAGAAGACTTTTTGGGTTTTTATTTTAATAGAATCATAACATAAAAAATATAATTTTAAACTAAAGATATATTTCTTTAAATGAATTCATCAAGAGATTTATGACTCTAAATTTATATAATTAGAAATTCAATGAAAGCAAAATTTTCACTAAACCTACATAAAACTAGGATACTTTTTCATACAAAAGCTAGGAATACAAAAACTAAATATAACATTAAAAATAAATAATCCTAAAACAACAATTTTTTTTTAGATAATTTAAAATGACATAGAATAGATCATTTTTCATTGTAAATAATATTTAATTGTTACTTTTATTTGTATATTTCGAAGACTGAAATTCAGACAAATGAATCTATATAGGTTTCAAAAGTAAGCTATGTATTTTAAAATATATAAAATTTAGAATGCACATGAAACGGATATGAACAATTTCAGATATTTCAGCTCAGAAAACCTCAGGTTTCTATTTTATCTTATTGTCTGTACAAAGTGCAGCAAATAAAGCTACCTTTACTTGTTACTTGACATATTATAGAATGAACAACTACTTGATTTATTATTCAATGAAAAAAAACAAGGAATAGAAAAAATTGATGTCAATTTAATACAATTTTTCTGATAGGTTGAATGACATTTAAAAAACTAAAGAATGTTAAGTATGATGAAATATATTTTCATTATAATATATTTTCATCAATAAAAATATGTATTTTTTTCTTTTCTTTTTTTAAGATGTGAAGTTTTCTAAATCACACATATTTAATTGCTATCTCACATTCTTAGAAATGCTAACGCATAAAAAACGAATCTCAATAATCTAACTAGTGATCATAAATTCGTCAATCGATTTCCAGGTTTTCCCCTGTCTTTTCACTGTATTCCTGATATTCCAGGTGTGTACAATTCTATCTAAATTTACATTCACAGTTATGCTAATAATCTAGGTGTTTTAAATATTTAAGCTATTCAAAATAATTATCATTTAACCATACTTATTATTTTAGGGCAATAATGGTTTCCATTTATAAGAAAATTCTGTTAAAATGTTTAGATCAGTAATATTAATTTTATTTGATGGCAAAACCTATCTCGCATATACCATGACAAAACCAATCTACAAGTTCACATTGTGTATATGACAATATAAAAATTAATTGCCATTACTTTAAAACTTATTTTAAATAAAAATATATATTTTAAAATACTACCTATATAATTTATTTTCAAACAACTAATGGAACCTTTAAAGATTTAATTCTGTTCAATATTAAATGTTTGTAAATATATATTTGATATTTATTTGTGAAGCATTTGTTTACATATTGTTTACTGGTGAAATAAGAGCATTCAAATTTATATTGAACTTTTTGAAAATTCAAACCATTATATATATTACATTATCAAATAAACTCATGTTAATTTTAAAAAAAATTAGTTTGAATACTTGAAAATCCATCCCAATGAAACATACCTTATATCATCATCTTCTTAAGAGAGTCTTTCCATTAGGCCACCCGTGCAATGGTGCCAGATTCTTGAATCGTATAATATTTATAAAGATGGGTGTTATTATTGAACGAAATTGATATTTAACAGGTTTCACAGCGCTACCAGGATTTCCACCAATAAAACTTTTAAAAATTTATATCATAAGAAAAAACAATCAGTTAAAAGCAAAAGAGAATGTTTCTATTGTTTTTTTTAAAGCACATATAACTTTTACTAATAAATACTAATACTTCATAAAAATTTCAGATTAAAATGCACATGTCTAGATAAATAATTATAAAACAGTGAAAAGGAAATCCTGAATAAGCGCAGCAACTCATTATAAAAAGATAGAAATATTGTAAATCAAAATGCAGATTATCATACCCAAGAAAACTTTTCATTATCTTCAGCAAAAATATCTTCATGAAACACTGAAAAAAAATATATATATTCAAAAAATTGTCAAATGTTAAGAGTTTACTTAAAAATAGTCTAATTATATATAAATGTGTTTTAAATGAGACAACATAACTTATTGAATAATAAAACTCTATTCTTATTTTAGCAACACCTTGTTTAGATTTTCAAATTCATGACTTAGCGAAGTTACTATTTTTTACCGTCAAAAACACAAAAATAAATTTAAAAAAGCATTATAATAACATTCATTGAAATGATAAGTATAACCAAAACTGTTAACAATAAAACAGCTGAAACAATAAATAAAATAACTGAAAAAAATACAAAAGCGAATAATTTTCTTTCCTTTTTTTCGGCAGAATTACATTATAAAGATACTCTTTTTGTTCATCGGAAAGAAAAAAATACTCCAGATTTTTCTGTTTCTTATTTCGGAATAAAAAAATTCACCAATGACTGGTTTGCCTTCAGCTAAAATTTTAAGTTGATAATATAAAAATAAATAATAAAGATAATTTGCTCTAGAAATTATGTTTTTTCTTTCATTTTTTGAAAGAACACCATAATTTTTAAAGAACACGATAAAAACATTTTATATTTAAATCAAATATGACTGTGAGTGGGGATTTTGTTACAAATTCAGATATTGGGGGGAGGGGAGTAAATTCCATTTTAAAAATTAGATTTTTCGGCAACCTAAATCCATGACTTTTCATGATTTTTTTTAAAAAAATAGTTAAAATCATGACATTTCATGACAAATTTTGTTCAATACCATAATTCATGACTTTCCAGGTGCGCGGATAGTCTGTAAATAATGAGACAGTCTTAAGAAATTACAAAAGCAGCCAATTCTTTACATTCCACAATAAAAAGTGATACTAAATTTATTTATATTTCAATTTATTCTACCTCAAAATTTTTAATAGTAAATACTAAATATAAAATGTTACAATGAAAAATATACTTGATTGTTCTATGCATCTATTAACACTCGTTCATTATTAATTACCTACATTTAGCAAGTCAATCTTACATAATGGTACATAACTTTCTTCCCTCTAGAAAATAAATGATGGGTAATTGATATTGGTCTACTGGATATAGAAGCTTTAACACAAAAATTTCACCAAAAAAATGTATACTCATTTAATTAAATTTAATTGTGTTTACATTTTTATGTTTTAGGAATAAAGCAAGACAAAAGAACTTTTAGGGCAATGACTTTGGTCTTGTTTTGCCATCTCATGTAAAACTCATATTTTTAAATCTTTTTCTTTAATTGATATTTGTAATTTTTGCTTTTCCACTGGAAATAAAAATGCTTTAAGAATAAGTCCATGAGAAAGATTTAAAATCAAAATTCACATTGTACATTCTCATTCACAATGGCAACAATTTAAATAATGATGAATGAAAATTCCCTATTATTAGAAAAGTAACGGAAACCTAAATAAAATCAGAGGTCCCACAATGTGGCCCTACAGTTTACTAGGATATAACTTTATATTATAGTGAATAGCGTTAAAATGAGGAAATTCAAGGTTAATATACTTCATTACAACATGACTTTATACCTCTCCTTTATATTGACCCATAATATTCAAATTGAGCCACGTATTATCTAATAGAATATTAGTGTACTCTACCACAGGAAATATTATATGCTTAAGGAAATAATTAAGCAAATGCTTAAAATCTTTCATTAAAACAAGATATTAACAATATGATGGCAATATAATAGCCTACCCTTTAATGGGGTAGACCATTTAAATTTTTATTTAGAAAATACCAAAAAAGTTACTTACTTCTTCGTCCAGTACTTTCAGCCATTCTAATATTTTTTACAGAACCTAAATAAAATGAATTTATTCGAAATGAATGAACTCGTAGAGCTAATCCAAGACAGATTTGTTCATTTCAATGCGCTTATAATTTGTCCAATATGCTAAGATTAGAAACTAACAATGAATTATCCATAATGAATACAAAATATATTTGGTTATAAATAATTGATAACTTTTTTAATTAATATTTATTCCAGAAAGTAAAAAGATTACACGAATTGATAAAATATCATCGAGCTTTCAACATGGCGACGATATTTGTTTTTTCTTCTAATAATCACTTCATTTCAGTTCTGTTTTTCATTTGTCAATATTAAAAATGACTCTTCGCGATCGCAACACTTGAGTGCGCTCTCTAGCGGGGAGGATATTTTCAGGCTACTATTTAGTAAGTTTTCATTTAGTTCTGTTAAAATCATTGGTAGAGTAGGATGCCTTTTTTAAGCAGCAAATAAGAAGCAAAATATCCCTAAGGTAAAGGCAGAAGAACTTGAAAAAATGACTCAGAACAGTGGTAAATCATTATAAACAGAACACGCCCAACATTTGAAAACAATTTCTCAATAATTTTTTCCTCTCTATTAACAGTAACGCAGTGGACTGATCGTTAAGACACGATTCCCAGCAGATCACCGAAGTCAAACATCACTGGCTGCGGTCAGTGTGCGGGTGGGTGACCCACTTGGTTCAGTCTGTGTAAGGACCGAGGGTGTGCGGTAATGGTCCTCGTTAAACTGTGCTACCGTAAAGTGCTCGACTTCGCGTTCAGGTCGTTGGGCGACCGAAACGGGGGTGCCATCCCCTCTGCAGAGGATCAAAATTGTGATGGCATGCCTTCGGATCATCCTCAGGGATGTTTCCCAGACCGTCGCCAATAGCCCATTGTGCAGCTCTAGTGCGACGTAAATTAACTACAACAGAACTACAACCTTTCTATTAACAACAAACTTGCAAACGATAACTTCTGATTTCGTAATCGCATACTTTTACAGATGTGTGTATGACGGTATAAAATGCATTTTATCCTTTTGTCTTCAATTCATTATAAATTAAATTGAAGTCAACATTGCTTACTTCATTCTACTGAATTAACGTGATTTCAGATCGCGCAAAACTATAATGGTTATCGAATATTTTTCTTCTTCATAAAATAGTATATATTTCTGTTATCAATATATTTCGGAAAACACCAATAAATAATCATCCGAATTGATTGAAACAGTATAATTTGCGTTGAAAATTAATAATTTTTTTATCATTTTCTTGGTATTTTTTAATTTTGAATGAATAATTTTGCTATTCTGTTTTTAAGCTACATATTGAAATTCATATCGAGATCCAACGATTATAAAATTTTATTGTGTGGTACGGCATCTTAAAGTAATGAAGGGATAATTTATGTATATATTATTTGAAAATAAAATTTTAAAAAGAAGAACCTTTTATTTTGGAAGTCTCCGGATTTATAAAGCAGATAAGTGTTATGATTTTTATAATAAAAAATGGGTCTCATTCATTTCATCGATAATCACTTCGTCGACGGGCCACTTCATCGACATCGACTTCTTCACCATTTCGTTGACAGGGTCATTTCGTCGACAAGGTCATTTTGTCTACAAGGGTCATTTTGTCGGCAATATGTAGAAAAGGTTATTTCGTAGGCAAAGTCATGCGTAATTTGGAAACTAATTTTATGATTTTTTCCATTAGACGTTATGCCCCTTGCACTTCTTTGTAATTTAGTATATTTGTGATAAAAAATTTTAAACCTAGCCTGATGCAAAATCTTAATAGTATGTTGAAGTTGCCCAAAAAGAAGCACTTTATTTGAAAATTGCCTATTCGAAATATGTATATTGTAAAAATGAAACATTAATTGTATTTCACACATTTAAGTTGCATATTACACAATTTGTTTCTAGCAATATTTAACACATTTATTTCTAAGATTAATTTTTACTCTACATTATTATAGTATGCAATTGCAATAACCATTGTGAATGATTCTTGATGTAGGGGTGAAATTTAGCAAGGAAAAAAAAGACAGTATATAATGAATCTGTGAGATAATGAAACCACGTGGTCGATAGGTAATTTCAATGACAAGGTCGTTTGTTAACAGGCCATTTCAGCTGCAAAAATTCTCTGTCGGTAAAAAGAAAATTATACTTATATGATATTCCCCACAACGATGTAATACGCATTAATACAGTTTAAAATCTTGTCAAAAAAGTTAGCAAGATAGATAGTTAGCAAGTAAAATTACTTGTTTTATCAAAATTTATACATTTTTTTCAAACTCAGTTGATTTTTTTTCATATGCAAGTAATCGTTAATTTTGTTACTATTGACATATTAATAAAATTTTCTTACATGAAATTTCAATATTTATATATTTTCTCTTTAAAAGAAAGATCGATATAGGAAAAAAACAAACTAAGTTGTATGAGTGGCTATTACGAAGGTTGGCGAGCGAAGTGAGCAACGGGCTGAACTTTATAGTATTATAAAAATCTTGGGAAAAAAATGCATGAGGGGAAAAATAAAATGAAAATCCAACTTGGAAAACATATTGGGAAATAATGTTNTAACAAAATGTTTGAAAGTGGGAGATGTGGTTTTGATGGAGGGCACCACAAAATCAAAACTATTATGGGACATAGGTATTATAACAAAAGTATTTCAAGGGCGTGATGGACTTGTAAGATCTTGCCTTATTCGCAAATCCAACGGCGAATATAAACGCCCAGTACAACTTATTTATCCTTTAGAACTCAATGACTGAAATGAACAATGAAAAACTTTTATAGTTTATGTTTTTATTTTCTTTCAAGTGAATATTTGCATCTCATTTCAAATTTATTTGCATTTAAATGTTATTTTTTTTAAATATGTTTATGTTATTTTTGTCTAATTTTTATGTTAAAATTTTAGTGAACTCGGAGGAGTTCAAGTGGGGAGTGTTGAGGATTTATGATAACAGATGGCGCTGAGCGCAAACAATTTTCTTATTATTTTTTCTTCTCTTCTTAAGTTTCAGTTTGGATTTAACCACTGAACCACAATGAAATAAAATCCTTTTTATTATTACAATTTGTCGAATTATTGTAGAATTCGAATCAGACATGCCATCACAATTTCGATCCTCTGCAGAGGGGATGGCACCCCCGCTTCGGTAGCCCGAAGACCTGCACGCGAAGTGTCTTAACGATCAGTCCACTACGGGACCTTTTCGATTTGCCAGAGAATAAAAATTTATTTAAATTAATAAAATTTGCAATAAGAGTATATATTTTAAAGGCGAGCTCTAAGAAAAGTCCTTAAAAAAGTGTAATCGGAAATAGAAATGTTTTTAAACATCATGTTAGATAAGTGCACTGAAAAAGAAATGTTAATTTTTGTCACCAAAACGAAAAAAGTGGAATTTTGAATGTTGATAGAAGTTTATTGTGAAATTTTGCCCTTGTGGTTTTTGCGAGGCGTGAAAATTTTTATAATTTTTTTTCTCATTTTTAGTCAACTGAACAAACTTGATATTTTAAATATATAAACATTTTTTATTTTAATTTTTTCTACATTTTTGTTTTGAGTCTCCTGGATTGTTCAGGCCGAAAATAATCAAAATTTTGATTGGCGATAAGGTCTGCTCATAGTGATCAGAAAGAGTTTGAAAACTATGTTTTCATCCTGTACAGAAAATCAGTTAAAAACTTGAGCAATTAAACTAGTCAAAAATTGGCAAGATTTTTCGTTTCTTTTTTGGAGAGTAAGAGTTCTCTTACATTTAAATTCCAGGTTTGATTTTTTGTTCATTTTCTTTTAAACAAAATGTGTCTAATTTAAATCCTGCAAATAAATATGAATTAATTCATCATTTATTTACTATTATTTATTTACTACTTATTAAATTATACTATTATTATTTAATTATAATAATAGTATAATTTAATAATATTATATTAGAATTTAATAATTAATACTATTATTAAATTCGCTATCCATAGAAAAAAAATGGTAACGAAATAAGACTAAGTTCGATTGTTCGAATAAGCATATTCCTGTCCTTATGTTAAAGATGCTGAATAAAAAGTTTGAAATTGCAATTAAAGCGAACATTAAGAAATTACTCTTCCACCATAAAAAAAAACCAGAAATTTTTTTTTTTTTACTTATGCAGATATAATTATTAGGTCTATGATCATTTTCATTTCTGCGAGAATTTGACTAAAGTCTAAGTTTTTGTTAAAGTGTATGTAAAAATGTTGAAAATTTTTACAGCAATAAATTTAGCTTTTCCCTCCTTGAAATAGTGTCTAAATTTTCATTGTAATATATTTTTTTATTCCATATCTTTTAATTCTAAGAAATCTTATTTTATTAATTTGATATTAAAAATAATTTGATTGCTAACGTCACACTATAATAACTGTTGACCACGGTCCGGATATCATGCTTGGTAATGTTCTGAAGACAATCCTTACCTATCCTAAAAATAAGTATCGATTTAGATATAGAAAAGTAGATTTTGATACATTAACCATTCTTGATTAAACGCTTCTCAACTACCTATAATTTAATTTTAAAAACGAACTTCTTTTAGTGCAATTGGAACAATACACAGCAATAAAGAATTTTACTTTAGTATAAAAAGTAAATAAAAGCATTTTTCTAATTAATAATAAAAATATTTAGATTAAATCTCCAAAATAGTTTCAGAATTACGCAAGACACTATCAACGAAACGACCCTGTCGACGAAATGAACCAGACCCGTGGTCCCGCAGTGGACTGATCGTTAAGACACGGTTCCCAGCAGATCACCGAAGTCAAGCATCACTGGCTGCGGTCAGTGTGCGGGTGGGTGACCACTTGGATCAGTTTGCGTAGGGACCGAGGATATGCGGTATTGGTCCTCGTTAAACTGTTCTATCGTAAAGTGCTCGACTTCGCATGCAGGTCGTCGGGCTACCGAAGCAGGGGTGCCACCCCCTCTGTGGAGGATCAAAATTGTGATGGCATGTCTTCGGATCATCCTCAGGGATGTTTCCCAGACCATCGCCAATAGCCCATTGCGCAGTTCTAGTGCGATGTAAATGAACAAATCAAATCAACGGTGATCAGAAGCAGGGGTCTGTCTAGGTTTTTCTGACAGGTACCTATTTTGTGAAAATTTAGACGTAATTTGTGAAAAATTAAAAATTATATTAAAAAATCAACACAAAAATATGGATTTATCGTTTCTTAAGGGATACAAAAATGAAATTTTAAGAAAAAATTTTCCTGGAAAAAAGTTTTCCTACCGTTTTTCCTAAAGTTGAATTTGTGAAGGTACCGCTAAACGGTAGTAAATTCGGCCTGGACAGACCCCTGAGAAGTGTGTGTGAATCACGCATTTAATGAGAATCGACCAGGTAGATTGATCATAGTAATCACTCACTCTCCCCCTAGCCTCTGCCAATGATGCTTGACGTCGAAAATCTATTGGAGATCATTATATCATTAAGAGGCTAGAAATTTACTGGATAAAACTGATAAGATATACTTGTCACGTTGAGGATATGACTTTTTAAAATTATTTCGCACAACTATTTTGCGTTACCAGATGTTTTAGAACCCTGTTTATTTGATAGAGTTTTGAAATATATTTTCAAAATATTTGTCAAAAATGTGGCTACAATTTTTTTACACAATTTAAAATTTAATTGCTTTGTCAAGATCCATCACGAATTCTAAGGAAAATAACAGATTAAAGAAAAAAACCTGCTCGAATGGCAGAGGAAACTAACAGGAGGAGAAAAGTAATTCTTAGAAAAAACTTTTACATTTCTTCAATAGTAATTCGTTTCGCTTTATCCTTAATTTAAAAATATTAGTTCGTGATGATCCCTAAAATGAACTTTTTTTTAACAAGGAAGGTAAAAATAATTAATAATGATAATTACGGATAACAACCAGTTTTTAAACAAACCTATATACTATAATCACAATAAAAGCGGCACTTTTCGAATGCACGGGAAACGAATATGCAAAAATTCCTGGCACTTGAACTTAAAAACTCCCTCAGATTTCAATTTTACCTTATTTTCTGCATCAGGTTTCGTACCAAACAAAATCTTAAGAATTATGCAAAGAGTTTTTCAAAGGAATAGTCATATAAAATTACAACCAAGATTTATCAATTTTTGGAGCACATTATGCAACTGAATTTCAAAATTAAATGTACTATACGTGTAAGCTGAACAAATATTTCTAATTAAAAACCATGCAATTTAGATCCATTATGTAAGATTTTAAGCTATAAATAACATTTACATTCAAATAATATAGTAAAAGTATTCTAACATTGCTTCTATGGGTAATGAAATAGTTCTATTTCATTTCACATCATTAGGCTTATTATTACTATAGGCTGGCCTGCTTGTGGTATGTGAAACTTGAACTTTGATGAATAACTTATTGTCATTTGGAAAAAAAATTTCAAGAATTTTTTGACAAATGCAATTAAACAATTCACAATTAAGGATTAGAAACAATAGTAAACTTGACCGTTAGCAAATAAAATACATAAATAAATAAAATAAACAAATAAATGATAAAAATAATATGATTCATAAAATTGAAACACTTTGCATGGGTGGGCCATACAGAAAAAATGAACGAAAATAAGGGGAAAAGAACATTTTTAAATTGGAAACCTATGACATAAAGACTCAAAAAGAGATGGTTAGATAATGTTATAAAGATCTAACCATAATGAAAATTACACCTAAAAACAGAAACATTTGGAATCACATTGTTTGGCAAGCCATGGCCCACTGTAGATTCTAATGCAGTAAAAGAAGGAAAAGGCTGATTATGCAATTTATACATAAATTGCCCTCTTTTTTTTCTTGAAACAATTTTGATAAATTGTAAGAATTTAACAAATATACATCTGAATTGTGAAGAATTAAAAAATAGAACAAATAAACAAAAGTACAAGCTTTGGTTTTAATGATAATAAACACTTTTAAAGGTGTAGTCACTTAAGTTATATATATAAAATAAAACTTTAATTTTCAATAATTATCAGGCAGTTACAGTTTTTTTTACTTCATATCGTTTATTCATGATCGCAATCCTCGAATACGCCATCTGGGGAGAAGACCAGTTCCATGTCTTCACCCTCCCGTCTTCTAACAAGTTGTATAGGAATGTACTTCGATATTTTCCCCTTTCTTAAAATATGCACACAAAAAATGGAGCATATAATTCAATTTAGATTTATTATATTTATCAAATAAGAATTACACTCACTTTTCTTACACGATAATAGTAAAGAAATTGAAATAAATAAAAATACTTATACATAAATATATTATATCTTAAGAAATCAGATCATTTACTGTTGCAAAGATAAAACGACATACTGCAGTTAAGGCAAAAAAAGCAATAAACTTGAAATTGTATTTTAACAATAAGAAAGATTAAGATATATTTTTGACAACACATTAGTTATATACTGCATTAAACTATAATAAGAAGGATAAATATTGAAACTATAACAAAATGAGGAATTATTAAATTATATATAAATATTAAATTAATACATATGTCATGTCTAAACTTAACGTAAAATAGTAGTTTTATAAAAGAGAATAAATAAATGAATGGGGGAAAAAAAACAAGAACAGATAAATTATATATGAAACATTTTGAGTTGAGAAAAGAATTGAACGTTTATGAAAAGTGAAATAGACATTTTCAAACTTAATTTAGAGTATTTTCAGTACAAGTGATATCAACAAAATAAATGATAGTTTACACAGATACTGGTAAAATAGCAACAAAATTTGATCAAACGATAACAGCAGCACTAAAATAAATGTGCTAACTTTTAAAATAATAAAGAACCCTTTATTATGAGGTGTTCCTATTTCTCTCTCAGAATTTTTTAAAACTAAACTCAGTGGCACGACAGTCGATAGAGAGCCAAGACCTACTGTGTCCATCTCAGTTTTCTTGACCTTTGGTCTCTGGGGTGCAAGAGCAGACGTTCCGGTTGGGTGGTCAGCCCAATGCGGGACCCCTAGTGTTTAGTTCCCAAGCATACTTGGTATTCATTTTATTGATCCACTGAAGGGATGAGTCAACCTTGCTCTGCCCTAGGATCGAAACAAGGAAATGTGGCATGACAGAGCGAAGCGCTACCACCCAGTCACCTGGCGCCCCCAAATTTTTAAGGAAGAAAAAAAGTAGAATTGTAACAAAAAATAAATACACTAAATGTTTAAAAAAAATTTTATATTCTGTCATAGAATAATTTTGTACATTTCTATAAAAATTTCAGAAGAAAAAAAGAAAAACTAGTAAACTACAAGTTTTTTTAAATAAAAAACAAGAAATGTTTTATGCCAAGAAGTAAATATTATAAGGTTGAGTTTGCTAACTTTTAGAAATTTATTTCAAACATTTAATTATACTTTTATGTAGTTAGTGTATGTAACCTTATGTAATTATATCTCTTATGTATTTACCACTTTCATAAAATTTGGATATAATAATATTGTATGCATGTGATACAAATGTATTTTAAAAACACATTAATATTTTAAAATAGACAATCTTTACAAAAATATTCATTATTAATGCACTAATAAAGAATGCTAAAATAGATTTCTGTAAAAAATTCTAAGCACAACTATAATTAACAGTTAAACACTCCATTGTTCCGATAAAATTCTTGACATTCAACATTAAACTCTTGATAAACTACAGATATTTTAACCAGATAAAAGCAATATGTTATACAAAAATAATTTTCAACAAGCAAAATATAAGAAAAATAATTTATGTAAAAAGTCAATAGCAATGTCTCTTAAGATTTAAAATAATAAAATGTAGAGAAATAAATGCTTAATGGAAGGAAAAAATGCAAATATGAGACAAATGTGTCACATGACATATATTTCTTCTTGAATATACGTCTGCTTTTTCATTAAAAACTTTTTGTTACTTAGGAAAACAATCATAACCACATCAATCAATTTTGTAAGTCCCTCCTAAAAAATATCACATAGATGAGATTCTCCTCCTTCTTAGAACACTAGAAGTCTTTAAGAACAAGCATCAACATTCTTCTTTGCATATTTAGTTTTACCACTTTCACTTATAATGCAGACATGCTGAAACAAATGAATATATATAAATAAATAATGTTTTGCGAAATAATAATAACAAAAAAATTTAAATAACTACTTTAGTAAAATTTAAGCAATTAAAAATAACCAATACTTACGTTTAACAAAAAAAAATTTATTTTTAAAAATTTTTTTTCAAGCTGATGAAAACATAAATAAGACAGACATTCTCCATTAAACAGACACAATTCAGTTATGCATTTAAAATTTCTTTAATTACTTCAAACAATTTAGATAAATGGGTATCCAGCTAGAAAAGCCAAAGTGTTTTAGTGTAATATAGAATTTAAGTAGTATGGATGTAATATGAAAACAACACTGTCATGAGTAAATAAATTACATAATACATTGAAAAAAACTGTTAATTATGTTTTTCGTGAAATAATCAGACAAAAATTACAATGCAAAAACGATTATTTTGCTAAGTTTTATTATTATCATTTTGTAAAAATTGTAGTTTTTGCATTATTTTTGTTAATGTCCAACAAAATTATTTTCCTAATAAAATAAAATACTATTTTTTAGAACAAACATTTTTTTTAAAACTAAATTAAATTTATATCTTTCAATTAAGTAAAAGTTTAAAAACCAGGTTATCCATGAAGTTATAAACTGCTTTAGAAATATTTTTCTATATTCTATCTCATGTTCTATACCTAAAATTATCCACTAAAATCTACTAAAATTCTAAAAAAATCCTATTTTTTTAAAACTTTTATTTCATGCCATTTATAAAGAATGCAAAATTTAAACCTGTTTAACCATCATCAATTTCATTTTCTATGTAATTTAAAATAATTTGTCAAAAAATGAAAAAGATTTAAATAAATAAAATCATTACAAATGAAAGTATAATTTGTTTAAACTCTCAAGTTTAAATATTTAATAGCCTTAGTAATATTAATTTTTTCTCAAGATTTATTTATAGTATAGATTAGGGATGTACAACCTTTTTGAGAGAAAGGTCACACTCACAGCAGATTGATCAACAAAGTGAAACATGCCAAAGTATCTAGACAGACATGTTGACAGTAATTGTAGGTAGTAATTGTTAAATAAACATTATTGTTTCAGGCACTAAATTCTTTTTATCAGTTAACCTTGTAATATCTTTTCATAAAATGAAGTACTTTCAAATGTCTAAACTTAGAAACTGCAAAATTGATTACTTAAAAAAATACAACAGAATCAGTATCAATTTAACAAAAGAAAATTCAGATAAATTGAAATAATTAAAAACTATGGAAAAATTCAAGACTTTTTTATCACATTACATAATACAAAAGTCCATTTAAACATAAATTTTAATATATAGAAATTTGTTCATAGAATTATATTTAAACAAAAAATAAATATTCTAGTTATTAAAATAAATGCAAGTTAAATACTACTTTGATTTAAAGAAAGTTTATAGGGTTAAAAATGATTAAAATTAAAACAAAACCCTTTCAGCTCAAAATACGATTCGATATTTAGTAAGGAATATACTTCAACTTTAAAACATTTATTTAAATAAATTATAATAAAAAACTATTAAGATACTTGTTTACAACTCTTTATGGCCAATACTTCTTTAACATGATACTTACTAATTACAATTAATACACATATATAAACAATTATTTAAAATTTACCTTACTTTATGATATTTATCGTGATAATTTTTTTTTTTTTTACAGTTAAAATTTAATGATATACAAATCATTTCCAAGCATACAATCAAAAATAACATAAAATGGTTCACATAGGTAGAAAATGGTTAAAAAAATGTCTTATGGCTATCCTGCAACTTGCAAAATTTTCGAATATTGTGATAATTTGATTTATTTGATCATGTTGTAGCTTTTTCGAGCCATTGATCTTGTTTAGACTGCTTCTTAATTTTGAACATGCCAAATTCATTTTGGAAAACAATCTTTCGACAGAAGCTGTTGCTGTGAGCAATATTAAAACTTAGGGCAAATAATCAGTTTAGGAATTAGTCTCTGATGGTGCTATCCCTTTCCTGATTTTTAAATCACGTGATTATGAATACTGATGCGTTATTTTTAAATCGGGTGAAAATGAATCCTGATATGTGGTTTTTAAATAATGTGAATATGAATCGCGTCGTATGATTTTTTAAACGCCAAAATATGAATCGTGACACGTGGTTTTAAATCCCGTGAATGTTAAATACGAAATGTGAGGTACGATTTTTAGAGCATGTGAATAAGAATAACGATGTGTGACTTTTAAATTGCGAGAAGAATCAAAACGAATAATTTTTAAAACTCGTAAAACACGAATAAGAATTGGTTGGGTATGTATTGTTAAACTTACACCTGTTCATGGGACTAAAGAAATATGCACGTGTATTGAATTATTTTTCTGCAAAAGGGACCACGCTTAATATAAATTTACACATCTTTATTTTATAAATATATTTAGGTAATTTATTCTCGCAATTCATAATAATATCGTGCAAAAAATCGAAATTTTAAAAACCAAGCGGAAATGCATAGTAATAACTGCCTAAAAAAAGATCAAAAGTAATTTAGATTTGCGATGAAGTTTGCGCAAATAAAGCACTTCATAACTTTCAACATATTAAAAAAATCGTGATTTTAGAAACTACATAAAAATGGGTAGCAATTACTGAAAAGTCATTGGATTTACAACGAAATCAACACACACGAAGAGCATCAAAAGTGATAACTAAAATTCGAAATTCGTGTATCATAATAATGTTGTATTAAAATTATAGGGATTTTCAAAACTATGCATAAACCCTTAGCGTTAACCATCAAAAAACTGAATTGATTGAGATTGGGTACATCAAAAACTTAAATGTACAATTTCAAATTTCCAAGTATTTTTTTTTTCAAAAAAAAGAAAAAAAAAATTTTCCCTTTCTTTTTTACTTTGTTGGGGTTGCTGCCGCGGGTCGCATGTTGTGCACCCCTAGTATATATAAGGTCACATATAATTCAAATAATTCCTGAAATTTTCAAAATTGAATTTCAATTTGTCTTCAAATCTTATAAAAATTCTTTGAATTGAGAAAAAATTGATAAATCACATTAAATTTTAAAAGAAAAGCAAAAGTAGAAGAAATGTATTAACATTTGTACCAAAGGTTCCCAAATATATTCAAAAACCAAAAAAAAAACAAATCTCTCTCATGACTAAGACATCTAGAAACATGATCTTAAATTGAACATGGAAACACATAGAATGGAAGAAAAAATTAATGGTAGCAAAATTTTACAAAACTTTAAAAGAATTTTTATAATTCCAAAGTTCATTAATTTTGTATATGTTAACCCAATATAATGTTGCCTAAAATGAAATGTAAGTTTCATTGGCCTCCTGCTCTTATATTACAAATACTAGCTCTGTTGAAAAAGTAAACTGATTACAATATAAAGCTTGTGATGCAAGCTTTCTGGAGCATACTTTTATAATAAAGTATAGTTTAACGTTCTACTTTTTAATTATGATCATAGCACCTCTGACTCCGCCACACTCTCTAAGAGTAAGAGAGTGCAAATATTTAAAAAAATACTTTGAGACAAAATTATAAAAATGAATCTTACTGCAAATATGTTTATAGTTTAAAGGTCCTCAAATGGAAAAAATTTGAAAAATGATTGTTTAAAATAATCTCAATTGTGTGACTTAAAAGAGTGAATTTATATAGAAAATAACAATGCAGAAAAAGTAACGCTCAAATTATGATGAAATATGCCTTTTTTCATATATTGCTCTGTTACATCCATCGCTGGCCCGTGTGACCAATGATAATTTATGGTGTTTAAGCAGAGTTTAAGCAGAAATAAAATATTTAGCAAAATAATACAAATGTTAACACAAAACATTTAAAAGATACTAAAATTAGTATAGAAACTAAAATAGAATTAAAAACTTAAAATATTTAATAATACAAAAACAGAATATGCTTGCATTTTTTTTTTTTTTTTTTTTTTTTTTTTTTTTTTTTTTTTGCTGATAGGGAATGTTTACAATGAAACCAATCAATTTAATTAAAAAAAGTGCAAAAAAGAAAAGACTTACATTTAAATCTCTGAAGAACTCATTGTAGTCAAGTGCATAGCCAACAATAAATTTATTAGGAACTTCAAAACCAATATCTATAAAGGAAAAAAAAAAAAACAGAGCTTTTATTTTAAAGTTTATACAATTTTTGAAATTCTCAGAAAAAGTTGTCATTTAGTCAGTTCCCCCCTTCATCTTTATTTTCAAACTAACATTGACAAAGGTTTGGTTTTTATTAACGAAGATAATATTTATTCAATTTTATTATTTCTGTTTTGAAAGAATTTTAAAATTTGATGAAGTATGTGGGATTTTTTTATCAATCATAAACTGATAAGCTTCTTTAGGCAAATACGATTACTTTTAATACAAATGAAATTTGTTGAGATGAAGTTTAGGTATCTTCGCTAAAGAAGTCACTACCAATAAGTTATAAGCAAAGTAATGGAATAATTTATCAACTTAAAATTTTCATTACATAAATAGTACATATTGGATTCAATGAAAAATTACAAATGAAAGAATCTTTGAAAATAAATATTCAGAGCAACCCATCTAAGCGATAATTAATTGATAACCACCTTTTTAAAGGTGACATTTCTTCGAACTAACTGTTCCTCAGCATTGTTTTTAGATTGATAAGTTTCAAATTTATGAAAATTCTAATAGATAAAAGCATAACCGACACATAATTATTATATTTACTAAGCCATCACACAACACTTAATTCTATTCTCTCCATTCATTAAAAAAAATTCTGATGAATAATTTAGAAGCATGGCTCAATAATACATGGCCGCAAATTCTTTATGTACAATTATAAAACAAAATAAAAATTTTAAGTTAAGATGAAGGTTAATTAAATATGAGAGTTGATACTAACTTAGAATACAAAGTTCAGTTGTACACAATAGTTCTTTTAATTCAATCTCAGTATGGTACAGAGAAATTTATGTAAGTTGACAGTAAGCAGTGCATTGCTTCGGTGGTCAACTTATTGAAGGGGATGAGCTCCTGTTTAAATTTTTTAACATGACTAAAATTTTCCATTTAGAAAATATTTCATATATCCAAGAAATTAGATTAATCTTAGAATAAATTACAACTTATATCTTATAAATGAGATATTTCAAAGTTCCTTTTTTTTAAAACACAAAGCATAGTAATTATGGGACAAAGTACCACATTTTGAGGTAAGGAAGACAGAGTATATTACAGATGTAACTTTTCAGGCATCTCTTTGTATTCAGACAGCTAAACAATAAAGTGGTTTTAAAATATCTAATGCAATGGCAATTTAAATATCATTATTATAAATTTATAAGACCAAAGACAATCGTGTTAAAAAACTTATGGTTTTTAATATATTTTTACAAAAATAACAATTTTTAAAAAATGAATTAAGCAATTTAGGCAAATGGACCACATCATATTACAAATTTATTAGAGTCAATTACTTTATTAAAAAAACTTTAATTTTTATTAGAAAAGTTTGAAAAACAGATTCAAATGCTATGTCTATTTTCTTAAATAGCTATGTTCATTACCTTAAATGTGCATTTTGAGCTGTGTCCATTATCTTACACATTTTCAGCTATGTTCAGAATAAAAAGCTCAGGGACAATATTTATTTTAGCACTTTTTGTCAAATAATTATTTAGATTTATTTATTTGATCCAGTAACAGAATTTATGGGGTGAATCTGCATTACCATCTTTTTAAAACCAACTTTATAAGTGACCTCAACAATGTCAGACCTGAGATTATTACTGTAAAAATTCAGCTTAAAACAAACACGTAGCAAAATTTGCTAAGATAATATCCCAGGGTTGGGTTTTTGCCGTCAAAAACTGGTTTTTGACAGGACAGTGGTAAAAACCGTGTTTTTACCGGTAAAAACTGTCAAAAACCTACTGTTTCCTTTTATTTTCCTTTTATTCACATAATTGCCTTTATAAATTAATGTTGTAAATGATTGCTATTGATTTTGCAACTACATACACGTATTCTTATGGAAGGATATACATTCATACAGAAATATTGTAATATACTTATTGAAAATAGTGATACTTACTTTTATCATTATAGCTTGATTTGCAAAGGATTCAAAATTTTGCACTTCTTAATTGTTAGAANTAATTTATGTAAAAAGTCAATAGCAATGTCTCTTAAGATTTAAAATAATAAAATGTAGAGAAATAAATGCTTAATGGAAGGAAAAAATGCAAATATGAGACAAATGTGTCACATGACATATATTTCTTCTTGAATATACGTCTGTTTTTTCATTAAAAACTTTTTGTTACTTAGGAAAACAATCATAACCACATCAATCAATTTTGTAAGTCCCTCCTAAAAAATATCACATAGATGAGATTCTCCTCCTTCTTAGAAAACTAGAAGTCTTTAAGAACAAGCATCAACATTCTTCTTTGCATATTTAGCTTTACCACTTTCACTTATAATGCAAACATGCTGAAACAAATGAATATATATAAATAAATAATGTTTTACGAAATAATAATAACAAAAAAATTTAAATAACTACTTTAGTAAAATTTAAGCAATTAAAAATAACCAATACTTATGTTTAACAATTTTTTTTTTATTTTTAAATAAATTATTTCAAGCTTATGAAAACATAAATAAGACAGACATTCTCTATTAAACACACACAATTCAGTTATGCATTTAAAATTTCTTTTATTACTTCAAACAATTTAGATAAATGGGTATCCAGCTAGAAAAGCCAAAATGTTTTAGTGTAATATAGAATCTAAGTAGTATGGATGTAAAATGAAAACAACACTGTCATGAGTAAATAAATTACATAATACATTGAAAAAAACTGTTAATTATGTTTTTCGTGAAATAATCAGACAAAAATTTCAATGCAAAAACGATTATTTTGCTAAGTTTTATTATTATCATTTTGTAAAAATTGTAGTTTTTGCATTATTTTTGTTAATGTCCAACAAAATTATTTTCCTAATAAAATAAAATACTATTTTTTAGAACAAACATTTTTTTTAAACTAAATTAAATTTATATCTTTTAATTAAGTAGAAGTTTAAAAACCAGGTTATCCATGAAGTTATAAACTGCTTTAGAAATATTTTTCTATATTCTATCTCATGTTCTATACCTAAAATTATCCACTAAAATCTACTAAAATTCTAAAAAAATCCTATTTTTTTAAAAGTTTTATTTCATGCCATTTATAAAGAATACAAAATTTAAACCTGTTTAACCATCAATTTTATTTTCTATGTAATTTAAAATAATTTGTCAAAAAATGAAAAAGATTTAAATAAATAAAATCATTACAAATGAAAGTATAATTTGTTTAAACTCTCAAGTTTAAATATTTAATAGCCTTAGTAATATTAATTTTTTCTCAAGATTTATTTATAGTATAGATTAGGGATGTACAACCTTTTTGAGAGAAAGGTCACACTCACAGCAGATTGATCAACAAAGTGAAACATGCCAAAGTATCTAGACAGACATGTTGACAGTAATTGTAGGTAGTAATTGTTATATAAACATTATTGTTTTAGGCACTAAATTCTTTTTACCAGTTAACCTTATAATATCTTTTCATAAAATGAAGTACTTTCAAATGTTTAAACTTAGAAACTGCAAAATTGATTACTTAAAAAAATACAATAGAATCAGTATCAATTTAACAAAAGAAAATTCAGATAAATTGAAATAATTAAAAACTATGGGAAAATTCAAGATTTTTTTATCACATTACATAATACAAAAGTCCATTTAAACATAAATTTTAATATATAGAAATTTGTTCATAGAATTATATTTATAAAAAAATAAATATTCTAGTTATTAAAATAAATGAAGTTAAATACTTCTTTGATTTAAAGAAAGTTTATAGGGTTAAAAATGATTAAAATTAAAACAAAACCCTTTCAGCTCAAAATAAGATTCAATATTTAGTAAGGAATATACTTCAACATTAAAACATTTATTTAAATAAATTATAAGAGGCATTTTTTTTCCAATTTGTTTTCAAATCCTAAAATCTTATAAAAATTCTTTGAAATAAGAACAAATTGATAGATCATATTAAATTTTAACAAAAAAGCAAAAGTAGCAGAAATGTATTAAAATGTGTACCAAAGGTGCCCACCTACATTCAAAAACTAAAAAAACAAATCTCTCTAATGACTAAGACAGCTGTAAACATGATCTTAAATTGAACATGGAAACACGTAGAATGGACAAAAAAAGTAACAGTAGCAAAATTTTACAAAACCGATTTTTATAATTCCGAAGTTCATTAATTTTTGATGTATAAGTTAACCCAACATAATGTTGCTTAAAATTAAATGTAAGTTTCATTGGCCTCCTACTCTTACATTACAAATACTAGTTCTGTTGAAAAAGTAACTGATTACAATATAAAGCTTGTGATGCAGGCTTTCTGAAGCATACTTTTATAATGATGTATAGATTTGTTCTACTGTTAAAGTAATGTTCCACTTTTTAATTATGATCATATCACCTCTGACTCTGCTGCACTCTCTAAGAGTAAGAGAGTGCAAATATTATAAAAAATATTTTGAGACAAAATGATAAAAATGAATCTTACTGCAAATATGTTTAAAGTTTAGAGGTCTTCAAATGGAAAAAATTTGAAAAATGATTATTTGAAATATGACAGTCTAGATTGTGTGACTTAAAACAGTGAATTTGTATAGAAAATAACAATGCAGAAAAAGTAACAAATAATGCTGGAATTATGATGAAATATGCCTTTTTTAATATATTGCTCTGTCACATCCATTGCTGGCCCAAGTGACCAATGATAATTTTATGGGGCTACCACTAAATTTAAGCAGAAAAAAATATTATAAATGTTATACAAAAATGAAAAAAATACAAATGTTAATACAAAACATTTAGAAGATATTAAGTATTAGTATAGAAACTAAGATAGAATTAAAAGCAAAAAATATTTAATAAAACAAAAACAGAATATGCTGTTTTTTTTGTTGTTGCTGATAGTGAATGTTTACAATGAAATCAATTAACTTAATTAAAAAAAAGTGCAAAAAAAGAAAGACTTACATTTAAATCTCTGAAGAACTCATTGTAGTCAAGTGCATAGCCAACAATAAATTTATTAGGAACTTCAAAACCAATATCTAAGAAGGAAAAAAAACAGAGCTTTTATTTTAAAGTTTACAATTTTTGAAATTCTCAGGAAAAGTTGTCATTTAGTCAGTTCCCCCTTTCATCTTTATTTTCAAACTAACATTAACAAAGATTTGGTTTTTATTAGTAAAGATAATATTTATTCAAGTTTATTATTTCTGCTTTGAAAGAATTTTAAAATTTGATTAAGTATTTAGGATTTTTTATCAATCATAAACTGATAAGCTTCTTTAGGGCAATATGATTACTTTTAATACAAATGAAATTTGTTGAGATGAAGTTTCGGTATCTTCGCTAAATAAGTCACTACCAATAAGTTACAAGCTAAGTAATGGAATAATTTGTCTCTTCACTAAAGAAGTCACTACCAATAAGTTATAAGCAAAGTAATGAAATAATTTATTAACTTAAAATTTTCTTTATATAAACAGTACATAATGAATTCAATGAAAATTACAAATGAAAGAATCTTTGAAAATAAATATTCAACGCAACCCACCTAAGCGATAATTAATTGATAACCACCAAGAAAGTGATATTTCTTCGAACAAACTGTTCCTCAGCATTGCTTTTAGATTGATAAGTTTCAAATTTATGAAAATTCTAATAGATAAAAGCATAACTGACACATAATTATTATATTTACTATGCCATCACACAACAGTTAATTCTCTTCTCTCCATTAATTAAAAAAAATTCTGATGAATAATTTAGAAGCATGGCTCAATAATATATTACCGCAAATTCTTTATGTACAATTATAAAACAAAATAAAAATTTTAAGTTAAGATGAAGGTTCATTAAATGTGAGAGTTGATACTAACTTAGAATGCAAAGTTCAATTGTACGCCATAGTTCTTTTAATGCAATCTCACTATGGTACAGTGAAATTCATGTAAGTTGACAACATGCAGTGCATTGCTTCAGTGGTCAACTTATTGAAGGGGACGAGCTCCTGTTTAGATTTTTTAACATGACTTTAAAATTTTCTATTTAGAAAATATTTCATATATCCAAGAAATTAGATTAATCTCAGAATACATTACAATTCTGGTCAATTTAAAAAGGGTTCAGACTAGTATTCAATAACACTCTTAAGACAAATTTGACTTATTTTTAGGGTCAACATATTATTAATCCTCTTCTTGATAATAGATGTCACTGATAATAGATGACTGATGGTTTACTGAACCAAAAAACCTATTGTTTGGATGTAAGATTTACAAACTATGTGAATACAAATGTAAAAGCAAAGATGAGAGAGCTCATGAAGATAGTTATTATTAAAAGAGATAAAAGAAAACATGAAAACAACCTAGCAAAAATATTTGCAACAGAAAAAAAATATATTGTTCATATTATCAATTTCTCAATGCCATTAAAAAATACCAATAACTCTTAAAATGTACAACTCTGCCAATGACTTAATAATATAATACAATTTCTATTGCTTTTTCAACTACTAAATAAATGTTTGAATTTTAAATGTGTATAATGTAATCTTTTTGCTTAATTCAATCGACAACCAATCAAAACACAGATAATCAAGATGCCTGTGATTAAAGAAAGCAATGAATGAGACTAATTTTTTATAACTTGCAAAATTTCTTTTGATTTAGATTTCAAGAAGAAAAAAAAAAAAGATTTTTCCAATTCAAATGCAAAATTAACTGAAAGTTAAATGTGACACACATGAAAAGGAAAGAAATATAAGTACCAATAATGAAAACTAATCATTAGCATGGAACGTTTTGTCGATCAGCAAATTCAAAATCAATGATTAACTGACGTTACTCGTCAGACACATAGCAAGAATGTGTTCACTTTTGAGTTTTTGTTTATACGTACTCCAGTAATTGCACGCTGGCTAGTCATGGGTTGAAGCGGTCACAATGTGCATAATCAGCAAACATTTTTCTGCAATATTAGGCACAAGTATGTAATTTACATACATCAGACAAGCGATAGCTAGAAGAAATCTGGAATTTTTTTTTTCAATATGTAGTATTTTTTCTGTACTTTGAATATAAATAAAAAGACTTACTGCTAATGTTTTTCTCAACATATAAAAGAATATATATATCTAGAAAGAACAATTACATATTCCCCCTTTTTTTGCACTTCCTTCATGGCATAAAAAAAAGTATTTTAAAAACCGTAAAATTTATGACAATAACTGAAAAAAAAGATAGATGAGAAAACCAAGTTTATGTATGTTGAAATCACACAAATTGAACGCGTCAAAAAGGGGTGCATTAAATGCAAATTTCAAAATCCTCATGTTGTGATAAATATCTTATTAAAAAGTTTGAGATTTTAAAGAAATATGCAAAAAATCAGAAGTGATAACTGCCAAAAAATTTATTGCAAAAATTATAGAATATAGCCTCCAACAGTGAATACTCAGGTGTGTGATTTAAATTTCAACAACAATAACTGAAAAAAAGAAGAAAAAAACGTCAAGTCTGTATTTAAATGTGTTTTAGTTTCTCTCGTCAGTTTTAGTATTAAGATAATTAACTAAAAAATTGGATAGAAAAACTAAATTATAAGAAATATGTACTAAAGTTTTTGTCTGCATAAAAACATACAAAGGAAGTAAATAAAAAAGAAACACAGATATTAACAGAAAATAAAAATCGTTAGAAACTTACAGTCCGGTTTATATCCTTTACTTTTGGGTGTTCGTTTAACAAAGAGACTGAAAAATAAAAAACATATCTATTAGACGCTGACAAAATATAAATACAGAAATAGCAATATATTATCAATAATAAAGGATATAATAAATAATAGATAATACAAACGAAGGTATTTACAATATCAATAATAAATTTATTGCGATCATTATTTTGAGTAGTAATAGTTTTTTCAATAGTAATAATTATTTTCAGTAGTAATAATTATTATTTATAATAATTATTTTCAGTAATTATTATAATTATTAAATAATTAATTACAGTTCATTTAAAAAAAAAAACATTTAGGTAAAGACATGATGTAAAAGTTAAAAAATGTTAACATTATTGATTACACTAGTATATGAATAAATTTAATCGGCATACTTAATACTAGAAAATAATAAACTAATTATGCAACAATTTGATGATCAACTTTTATTGGTTAAAGTGGACACATAAATTGTAAACTGATAAAGGTTATAAATTTTATACTGAGCTCTAAAGCACTGTAAACAATATTTATATTTTATTTAGAATTTTATCAAAAGATTTTTCCAGTTCACTGTTAATTTTATTTACAGTGAACAATAACGCTAACAAAGTTTCAAATTATCGGGTAATAAAGGACAAATTAAAATAACAATCAAAATAAATAAATGAAATAAAACTCATTATTTAGAAAGAAAAATATAATTTGTAGTATATAAAAGATTTTTGTTGTTACAAGGTATATTGCAGAATATTAGTAATTTAAAGCCTAGTAAATTAGTTTAGAACTTTACGAATAAGGAATCGTTTCAATGTAGATGACTAACTAAAGTCTTGCAAAATTTTCTTACCTAACAACTTTGACTGTCCTTGGTTCAAACTGATCTAACAAAGTTAATAGATTTTTCATAGTTGTACCAGTGTCAATAATATCTTCCACAATCAGTAAGTTCTGAAATAAGGTAAGCAAAACTTGTTAAATATTTACATAAATAGTAATATAACAGTGCAAAATTAAAGCAACATATTTATCGTTAAATGTTAAGAATGAGAAGGGGAAAAACAGGTACATCTACTCTGAAATGCTAGAGTAAAAATTATAACCGCCATGTTTTTACTTTTTAACGGTCTTAACAGTCATTTTACAAAAGAAAAAAAGAACAACAACAAAACAAAAAAACGTTTTCATCAATTAAAAGAATTATAAAAAATATTGTGAAGAAAAGCTATGCTAATTTAGATGCTAATTTATGCTAAATTAATAAGATGCTAAATTATGCTAATAAGATGCTAATTTAGTAGAAGAAATCAAGAATAAGAAATGAAGGTATTCAATTAATAAAATTCCAAACTCCCCTAGATCCACAGCAGTGGCGGCGTTCCGTCTGGAGACTGGACATGACTGCCTCGCTAAACATCTATACAGAATTGGTATATTTGGCAGTCCTATGTGCACTTTGTGCAACCAGAACTTTGAGCTGGACAAAGATCATTTGCTAAGTTGTTCTTCATTAAATGAAGAAGATTTATTCAGTCGATATTGGCAAGCTAGGGAGTTGATGCAATTGGTATCCAGCGACTGATTCTCGTTCATGTTTAAGTGGTTCACGTTTTGCTAGTATTTATTGTTCTTGTTCTTATATTGTTCAATGGTTCAGTTTTTGTTTTATATGCTCCAATCTCATGCATCTTCGATGCATGGGGGCCAATGATGTAAAATCAAGCGCTTTTGCAATAAAAAAAAAAAGTCATTTCAAAAAACCCTATTTAACATAGTTTTTAGTGTAAGGATAGTTATTAGCTACAATAAATAGGAATAATTTATAAATAAACTTACATGTAAAATTACAAGCGATAAATCACTTCATTGAATTATTTTGAAATTAAACTCTTTTTGTTATGACAATTAAAAGTCTAAATGTAAAAAACGTGAATTTTGGTTCAGAAAATATTAAATAACTTTAAATAAAAATGTGTTGAATTGCGATTTATCCAATCCATTATTTGCTTAATTGAAAATAAAAATACAAAAATAATAATAATAATCAAGCTATAAAATAAAAATGCTGTACAATCCTCTCATTTTATAATATGAATTTTCCCTGAAGCATGCAATTACAAAAAAATAGTGTGGCAGTGCTCTATACTTCAAGTTCATTTTTCAATTTTGTATAAATAAGACTAAAATTCGAAACTATTCTTTCGATTGATGCTGAGCAGTATAGAGTATAATGTAAATGTGCTAAAACCATTATAGTATCATAAAATAACATTTAATTAGGAAATTTATTCTAATAACTCTACTAAATATCGATAGTAATTAACTTAAACCCCTTGTTTCGATTAATTAAAAAAATTATTAACTCATTTAAACAAACATTTATATTTTTTGTAAGTTATAATACGATCACTAAGCTGGGAATATATTATAGTCATGATTTATTGGAAACACTCATGTACATATTTTGTAAGAAATATTAATTTGTAAGAAGTTACGCAGGACATCACTGAAAAAAAGAGGTAATTAAAACAATATTCTTTTCTTTAGATTGTTGAATTAAAATTTATGAGAATGATAATTTTTTAAATGGTGATATTGTTTAGATTGAAATTTTCCTAGAAATTTTAGCATTTTTTTTAAGTACGGTAACCTTAAAATATTTTTTGAAAATAAAGTTTATATAAGAAAAAAATTCATCTAATTTTACACAATTCTCGAATAAACAGGCATACATGTTATAAAATAATAAAAATACATTGAAATAGTAATAATTTGCTTAATTAAATTTAAGGTCCTGCTTACAAACTTATGCAATTCACATTTATAAATACAAAAATTGACATATTTTTTTATTGAACAAGGAAAAATTTTGCAAAATGCCATATTTTCAAAAAAAAATTTTGTAGGTACTTTTTCAAACCAAACATTTTACCAGAGCTGCTTGAATTTCCGCCAAAACCTTATTCATGCGATAAGACATATTCTGTTCCCCAGCATTAGTTACGGATATAACGAATATTTGGCAACTATTAGGCTCTTTTACCGAATATTCGGTGGGCCAAATGTTTGGCAAAGCATTATTTGGAAAAATATTTTTCGACTCTCCTTTTTCTTCGGGGGTAGGGGGGGATTTCATAGATCTAAATAAGAATAATTAAAAAACATATTCTCACTACACATTATTGGAAATATTTTTTACACATATTTGTTAAATTCTAAAACTTGATAATTTATGTTCTGAGAGATACATGGAAAAGAGAAATTTGACAAATTGAAACTAGTTTACTTTATACTGAACGCTGTCTTTTTTCTCTCTCTTTTTTGAATTATAGTCAGGCTCATTCATTCAATTTCATCGTTTTTTCAACACTTGTCATTATAAAAATTTGAGAACTTTTTTTCCTTCATTTTTGCTTTTCTGTTTTAACTAAAGTGAAGCATGTTTACGTAGCGTTTCGATTGGGTACTTCATTCTCTTACTGTCACTTCTTTGTACTACAGTAAGACAGATAACTAGTGGCATAAAAAAACTGATTCTTAAAGTTAAAGTTTTATTTCAGAACTAAGAAAAAATAAAAATTTCTGCTTCTACTTTGATTTTTTTTAATAAACTTTTCTTTTTATCAGCATTTTTATTAAAGATCATTTCTAATGAACATTTTTTTATGGTCACTTTTTTCTAAAAATACAGCGATGTGATTTTTAGCGTCAAATCTTTTATTTAAAATTAAAAATGATTTTTGTTTCGATCCAGTTTTTTCTTCTTCAAAAAACATGTTTTTAGACGTTTTTACCATGATGTGGCAATTAAGAGGGTTTCTATTAGAGTTTAATCTTAACTTCTCCTTGAAAATTTGGTAATTGGAAACTACAATCTTTAGCTTTACAATTTTCTTTCAAAAAAAGATTTTTATTTTTTCTATTTTGCTTTTATATATAATCTTAAACAGTTTTATGATAGCACTCCATTTCGAAATATTTTTTTCTAGAAAATATTTTTAGCATTAAAGTTTTGTTTTAAGAACTAAGAGGATTTTTTTTTGAACTTAACAAATTTAGTTTTTTTTAAATAGCTGTTAGTCACTTCTTTAATCTTAAATAATTCTAATTATTTTAAACATTTCCGTTAATGTTTCCCCCCTTTTACCAATAATACAGCTAAGTTTTGATTATTTTTCAGTAATGAACTAATTTCTATATTCTGCGTTTTTTTTTTTTTTTTNTTTTTTTTTTTTTTTTTTTTTTTTTTTTTTTTTTTTTTTTTTTTTTTTTTTGCTGAATATCGAATCACTATTCGTTACTTCTCTAATATAAGCAATAACAAATATTGAGAATCAATATTTATATATATATAAGTTAAAAAAAGACAATTATTGGCAACCACTTTAATTTTACTTAATCGAAAAAATCTGCCTAAATTGTGACGTAAAAGAATTAAAATCAATATTTAGATAATAAAGATCTTTAAGTATTAAGAGTATCAAGTTTTTAAAAAAACCAAATAATAGTTTCAATGATTTGAGCTATATTCTTTTATGTGTGATAGATAATATAAATCATAATTATAGTATATAAGGCAAACATTGTGCATGATTTAATATCTAATAAAATATCCCCAAAGACAAAAAAGAAATTTGCCTCAGCTTTCTGTCAGATTTCGACATGCCATGTCAAAAACCCAATTGTGCATTTAACCCATGGTTCCTTATTTTATCCATGGTTTCTTTCTTTCTTTTTTTTTAAAAAATTGAACAGAATATAGAATTTAACTATACAACACCTAAAATGAGCTATATTGCCCTCTTCTGTAAACAACATTACAAAATTTAGAGCAGTTTACTTGTAAGTACATTTTTATTGTAAATTTAGAAAAAAATTCGAACAAACATTTAAAGATAAGATTTAATTACGATGGCATTATTACCTGTTTAATTTCTCAAAATACAATATAATAAATTAAAACACAGCCCACAAAGAAAAAATCTGCCAATAAAACTGCTAACAACACAATAAGCACTGTAATGAGGCCAAACAAAAGTGCGATTCTTGCACTATTGGTAGGAAAGTGGGATGCATAAAGCAAAAATATTAAGTTAAGATGAAAAAGTCTATGCTTTCTAAAATTAAAGCTTTAAAATGAGGTAAGGTATTATGTAAGTATTCCATTTAATTATTAAAAAATACATAAAAAAACAGAAATAAACTTTAAATAAGAGTAGCAATTATTACTTGTAAACTATAATCATTTCACATTTTGGTCCTTTCCTAAGTTAACTAAAATGATATTTTAAATATTTTATGTTTAATGCAGCATGCTATCTTAAGTTTATTGATGTATAAACTATTTATAATTCCTCCCTGTTGTTATAGACAAAAATTAATGAAATTTTTCCTGATAAAAAAAATTTCAAATAGCTCAAGGTACCATATTTGAACAATAATATCTATTATACAGAGAAGTATTTATTTGAAAGTTACAAAAATATAATTCATACCCTTCCTTTGAGTGTGGCAAGGTTATCAATTCCCATTATTTTTAGTTTTCCAGAAGTAGATTCATTCTGAAAAATATAGAACATATTCATGACTTTTTAAAAGTTTACTGGTTAAATAACAATACAGATTAAATATATATTAGCAGAAAAGAAATTTCATTAAAAATGTATTTTATTACAAATATTTAGTCACATATATCATCACTTTTACTGTTATCAGTTTTTCCTAGCTTATAAAATATATTTAATTTCATACAGTTTACTGATTAAATAACAATTCAGATTAAATATATATTAACAGAAAAGTAGGAAGGAAGTTTGAGAAAACAGGAAGTTTGAGACTATATAAGATGAGTCCTATGCCACCTTCTTTTGCTTGAAAATCTAATTAGAATTTAAAAGATTTTAAATTTTTAGTGATCAGGAATTACCCCTGGTCTTGATCATTTCTGGGGTAATTTCGATCACCAGTTTTTATTGTAAAGGGGCTGCTTAAAAATAATTATATGATGGTAATTAACAAATAAGACATCAAGATCAAACAAATAAAACAAAAAGATATGTTTAAGCAGCTAATAAAATGATTTATTTAAAAGCAAAAAGAAAGATTAACACTTCAAATTTTCCAAAACTCTTTGCATCGTGCCATACATTTTAGGCAATAAGACAACTCATTCTCATGTTCTGCTGAAATATAAGAGTTCTCTTATGGGTTACTTTTGCTGGATTTTTTAACTTCATTAAGGAAAAGTGTAAAGTTATATACTTGTAAAGTTAAGTAATATATGTCAACACCTCTGGCAGCAGCTCTCACACTGAAATTTTCATTTTCAATCATTTAAAGAAATTCACTAATTTTGCTTTCTAGAAGCTTAGTATCCTTTTTAGGCTTATAATTTCTCACCATATTTATACTAGGCTAATTTATAAACTTAAAAATTATTCTAACAATTATACTAGGCTAATTTACAAACTTAAGAATTATTCTAACAATGTACACACATAAAATTAAGATAGAAGCAAGGTAAGACAAACCAGAAATGGACAAATCAGAATAGTCTTGTATACAGTTAAAAACAAATTTTGCGATGATAGCTAAAATATATTTTATAGTTGTTCCACTTAATAAATATGAACTGTTATTTAAGAAAAGACAATTAGCTATTTATTAACTATTTTACATACTATTTATAAGAAGAAATGACAATGATCAGGAATTATCCCAGTGATCAATAATTACCCCATCTGTAGGGGGCAACATTTGATATAGTTTCCTATAATCAATTATAATGTTTACAGTAGATGTGAAACAATTAAAAAAAAGCTTTCACTACTTTTATATCAAAGAAAAAGAAAGTAACTCAAAATATTTATTATTAAGAGAAGGGGGATCTTTGCAGAAATGTTCACATTTTGAAACCTATCTTTGAAATGGAAAATACAGAAAGCAGTTTAAAAGATGCTTATTTTGTTAGATTAAACAAAAAACTATTATTAAGTAAATGTAGTTATACTTTAGTGAAGTGTACAAGCATTCTTGTCCATGTCTCAAATTTAAAACATACAATTTTTTTTTTAAATAAAACTTAGGTGATCATTATTTACCCTAGAAACAGAGTGATTGTGAATTACTCTGGATCACCCTAATTAAATTAATCAGTTATTAGTTTTTATCACTTTTTTTGATTTATTAGTTTTTATCACTAGTTATTAGTTTTTATCACTACATTCATCGACCGGTTAAGAGCTCAATAGTCCGACCATTCATCGTCACGACTAAATCAAATATCAAAATCTATATTTAATTATAAGCTGCTTAATTTCTCTAACCACAAACTTTTTTTGGTTATATTCAATTGTCATGGTCGTTTTTGGCAGGGTTGGGTTTTTGGTCAAAAACTGGTTTTTGACATGACAGTGGTAAAAACCGTGTTTTTACCGGTAAAAACTGTCAAAAACCTACTGTTTTCTTTAATTTATAGTATGTAGCAAACAAATATTATTTTCACATAATTGCCTTTGTAAATGAATGTTGTAAATGATTGCTATTGATTTTGCAGCTATATATTCTATATATACTTATAGAAGGGTATACATTCATATAGAAATATTGTAATATACTTACTGAAAATAGTGACACTTACTTTATCATTATAGCTTGATTTGCAAAGGATTCAAAATTTTACACTTCTTAATTGTTAGAAATAAACAAACAAACAAAAAAGCTTGGAACTATTAATAAATTCAAGAACTAAAAAGAAGAATTTAAAATTTGGCATTTCTTAAATATTAGAAATAAGCTAAACAAAACTTTCAAAACTTGTAACTACTA